CCATGTCCATAGCAAGGTAGCTGCCTCATATTGGTCCCTTGCTAGTCAAAGGGTGGTCTGAGGGCCAGCAGCTCCGACATCATCTGGGAGCCTGTTAGAAATGTAGAACCTCAGGCCCCACCCCAGACCTCCTCAATCAGGATCTGCATTTTAAAAGCTCCCTGCATGACTTGTGGTGCATTACAGTCTGAGAAGCCCTAAATCAGAGAGCTGTTTTTTGCCGAGGGTGACAAGTGGCAGGTGCCCCAAGAGAAATACAGAGAAGGGGCCCTGGGCCTTCGGAGAAAGGGGAGGCTCTTGCTCGCTTGTTCTAAATTCTGCTCTTGCGTGGCTCCAAAGGAAAATGAGTTTCATGGGGAGGGGCTGGCTGAGACACTCCCACCCTCTACAAACTACTGTGGACTAACTAAGGTCCACAAACGTGTGGTGTGGCCATTGTTTAGGAGGAAGGAAATTGTTTAGGAGAAATGTCAAAGATTCTAAGTAGGAAAATAAAATTAAAAATGAAAATAAATGAAAAAATCACAGAAAACATTCTATTTCCCATGCATGCTGTATGTCATCCAGACTGGTAGTAGGGGGGCGGGGTCAGGGGCTTCATCCTGTTCCTCCCTGTGTCCTCAGGGTATGGCTCTGTGCAGGGTCCCCAGCAAGAGCTCAACAACTTTGGTCAGACTGAACCAACCTGGGATGACCTTCATGGGCAGGACAAGCATACCCTGGGGATGGGGGAACGCAACCTCCTCTCGGGCAGTCTCAAGGCAGCACGGACCAAATCTTATAACGCAGACGACGATTTTCCTGTCTTCATTCTAGAAAGGTAGATTCTAGAAAGTATTCCCTTCAGTTGCTCAGGCATGAATGAGAATTTTTTGAGGACCATGTTTCAGTCTCCCTTTAGTAAGCCTCTGGCATTTTTAATGCCCATGAAGAGCTTATGGGTGTGGGACCTCCACATTTGACTGTTAGCACTGTTGGGGATAAACTACAACACACGAAACTTTTATTTGTAAGGCTCTTTATTTAGGTATTCTACTCTTTCACAAGTTAGGTCAATAGAATTGTTTCGGTTTGAACAGAAAAACTAGGCCTTGCTACCAATGGTGCCTGGGAAGGGACCTCAGTTCCTGTGCACTCGGGTGTCTGTTGGAGTCCCTGGACCCCGTGTCTGCGGAGAGATATTGAGAGATGAACGAGGTCTTTGAACTTCTATTTCTTTTTTTTTTAATTTTAATCATTGTTCAAGTACAGTTTTCTCCCTTTTATTCCAAACCCAGCCCACTGAACTTCTATTTCTGATGCTAAGCGTCTCCTTTGAGTACATTAAAATGATAGACTTTAGACCTGAAGGAACATTCATCCAGTCATTCACTCTTCATCAGAACGAAATGTGTGGAGAATTCTGGTTAATGAGACCAACTGGCTTTATCTCTCTACAAACTCATAGAAAGTCTGGATTCAGCAGAACAAAAAAATTAGCAAGTACAATGTTGAGCTTGGAAGAGAAATAAATAGAAGGGTCAAAACTAGAGCAGTAAGTTAAGTGTTAAGGCCTTGATGGCTGACATGGTTTTGGATTCAGAGATAAGCTTTAGGTGCTAGAGGCTACATTTCAATACCAAAAGGAGGCACAGAAGAGAAACTGAGGACAGGAGAGGTGAGGAAGTAGAGTGAACGCTAAGGGCTCCCCTGTACACAAATGGGAACTGAAAAACTACTCGCCAGCCTAGAAAATGTATAAGGAGTCTTAATATCCTCCTGGGACTATGAGAAATTTTAACCCAAGCCCACACCACATGCTTGTGTAGAGTGTGAGTTTATAACATTCAGGCGGCTGTGGTGAAGACCAGGGGGAGGTGGGCGGGGGCTGGGTGGAGGCGGGCAAACAAGGGGGATTATGGGGGACATCTGTAGTACTGTCAACAATAAAAAAAATTTAAATACAGGTGGGGCAGTATGAGAACCAGTTGAAACCAGTAAAAGCCTAGAGCCTTATGAGAGGCATTTGTGAAACTTCACAAAAAATAATCCCTGCTGAAGATGAGCTCACACGAAAAAGTTACAAACTGTACTAGGAAACGAAGCACCATGGGGTGAGCTCACAGAGACAGTAAACAGGAGACTTAGTATCCACAAAACGGCAGGTAACAGAACACTCCGACAGGAACGGACAAGAGTAGGTTTTGCACAATCACCCACAGCTGTAAAACTACTTTTGCCCACCCCATATGTGTGTTTAACATATTTAAAGAGGTAATAGGTCGAGAATGGGACGCTAAAAAAAAAATAAGTAAATGTGAAAATGTGAAATTTTTTAAAAAACAAAAACTGGGGCCATTGAGGCCTAAAACTTAGTTTCAGGTAAATGTAGCATAGCTGCCAGTGAAGAGAGAAATAGTGACATGAAATATGCACCTAAGGAAGTTACCTGAAATGAAACATGGGTAAATAAAGAGATGTATATTATGGAAGGAGGTCAGGAGACAGGAAATACGGAATGGGAAGGTCCAACAGACTTGTAATAGGGATTCTAAAAGAGAGTCTGGAGAAAATGTAGAAATGGCAATAGTAAAGAGATCCTGTTTTCCAAAATGGAAAACAGATATGAGTACTTGGGTTAAAGGGGTATACTGAGTCCCATGCAAGAAAAATAAAAACCACTACACACTTAGATACATCAGCATTAGGAAGTGGCTGAAATTTTACAGTACAGAAAAAAAAAACAAAACACACAAAACCCCCCAAAACATTAAAAGCTACTAGAGGTAAATAAAAACACCTTTTCCTACACACGCATGTCTGTTAAACTGAAACAAGACCTCTCATCAGCAGCCCAAGGGGGCAGAACACAGTGGAAATGATCTTCGAAGTGCAAAGGAAGAATAACCCCTTATGTAGAAACTTACACCTAATGTATTACTCAGGAGAGATGGCAAAACAATGATGTTTTCAGGCGAAGACAGAGCATTTATCTGTCACAAACTCTCACCAAAAAGACCAGTAAAGTATGCCCTTTAAGGAGAAGGGAACTGAGTCCAGAAGGAAGAAATGGTATTGCAAGAAGCAATAGGAGCTAAAATAAAGTAAAGTATATACTGTGAGCATACTGCTATATCTCAATAGTCGTTGGCTATACAATTTTTAAAAAGATTAACTTTGCGGGTTTAAAAATAAAATAGAACTAAAGCACTAAGACACAATAGGGATTTGGGCAGGACAAAGTAAAGAGCTCTAAGGTTTTCACATTTTGGTGGTGGTGGTAGGGGAAGGTTAGAGATGTTGCTTAACTTCCTAGTCATTAAGACAAAAATTTGTGTTAAAATTTTAAATCCTTAAAATTTTAGGAATGCAAATAAAATATAAAACTTTCAAACCAAACAAAAGAAAATTAGGAAAATAGAATCAACTTGGTAAAATGCAGAGAGAGAGAGAGAGAGAGAGAGAGAGAGAGAATACAAATCAAAATGATAGAAGTAAGTTTACAGTGTCAGTGATCACAATGATTCTAAGTGGACGAAACTTAAAATTCCTGAACAGAGCCCTGACGCCAGACACTGGGCTATGCACTGGGGCTGCAAGAATGGATGAACTACAGCTTCTGTCTTCAAGAAGCTCATGGCGGGTGGGGACTATACTAACAATAGGCTAAGCATCTTGATAAAGGGAACCGGAGAGTGGGGGGTGGGGTCCTAAAAGAGGGACACCTAACTGGTTAGGGAAGGCTTTCTTAAGACGATGACCCGTCAGCTACATCCTGAGGAGTGAGTGAGAAGGCAAAGGGGACAGAAAGGGCGCACCAGGCAAAGGTAAGGGGCAAAGGCACGGAACTGTGCGAAAACATGGCATGTTCTGGTCCAAATTTCTTTTGTTATGGATGAGGAACCTGAAGCCCAGAAAAGGTAAGGAGACTGTCCCAAGGTCACCCAGCTAATTAGTAACAGAACCGACTTGTACCCAAGTCTCCCATTGCCTTTCACACCCCGCTTTCTACTGCATCACAGTGCCTTAGGTTCGTGGCAGGAGGCTCGGTAACTGGGTTGGCCGAGACTCTAGTCGACTCGGGAAATGAGCCCCATCTGGGTGTGGGGGCTGGATCTGTCCCTGGGCTGGAGCAAAGCCAGGCACTTGGCAGTCTCCAGGGCCGAGCAGTGCAGCTCACCCCTAGGAAGCCATGGCACTGATGCCCAGTTTAATCATTAACTCCAAGTTCACAGGGCTGGAGCTGAAAAGCACAGGATATGGGTCACCAGGGAGCTAAAAGATGGCTCTTGAGACGGGAAGGAACCAAAGTTTAGAATGGGGCCTTTGGTCCCTGAGTGGCTCTACACTCTGGGCTCAGGAACTTGCCCTGCCCCTTGATTTTGTTGGAGTCACCCATCACCTTCTCAGCTCGATTTCAGGATTCCCTGTGAGTGTTCACAGTAGAGTGCACTTCCCTCTGCCACAGTCCTTACCCCGCAAGGTAGGTCCACCAGCCTCACTAACCTGTGACCTGCTGGAGGGCAGGACTCAGTCTTTTATCTCAGCATCCTCAAGTGCCAGGCACATAGTAGGTGCTCATTAAATATTTGCTGACCGGTTGAGCAAATGAGACCCTAACTCTGCCTATAGTTTTTCCCGACGCACATGCTTTTTTTCCCTTTCTTTTTCATTAAAAGAAATAGGAGAGTGATTTTGTGTAAGAAATTCAACAGAGATCCACAATCATCTCTTGAAATACTCTGTGATATCTTAAACTATCGTAGCACCAAGACGAGGTCCGCTGATCTAAAAGAGATGGAATGTTCTAGTCTTCTCCCTTTATCCCTTACTGTTTGGATGACTGCAGAGCATGTTTAAGGTTGCTTTGGCATTCTCAGGAGAGGGGTGCTATTCAAGCATGAGGTGGCATTTTATTGAGGAAACAAAAGCCCCATGGAGGGCAAATTCCACCAGCATAATAAAAGTAACTGCTCCTTATCGGTTCTGAAAGCTACAGCCTGCCATTGGAAAGACTGCATTAGCCGCGGCATGACCAAGCCCTGAGCATGCAACTTTAAAGGGACTTCTAGATTTCACAGACGAGAACTTCGCTGGCAGGTGAGGTGCAGGTGGCACAATTTCTGTTTCTTTCCAGTGAACCCGGTTATCCTGATCTGAAAAGTAGAGGCAGTCATCTCTTCTCCACGAGGCATTTGTCAGAATTCATTGAAATAATGGCATAAAGTCATTGGTTACCTAGAAGATGCTCAATCATGGCGCAAATATCTTCTCTCTCGAAAGTAAGAATCCTGAACCTATCTAGAACCAGAGATGTGGAAATAAATTCTGCTCTCAGAGGCCATGTGGCGGGTGCCCAGAGATTCGGAGTTCCAGTCTGGGAGGAAAAGAATCGTGCTGCCGATTCTACAGGCTTTAAAGTGTAAACATTCGCTACAGTGTTACTATAGCCAGCACTGGAGGATGCTGGGAGCAATTTCCCTGGCGGAAACAGTCCCTCTCCTGGAAAAGCCAGCTTACCTGGTTGGAGCTGAGCCAGAAAGGCTGACTCTCACCGTAGCAAGTTCTATATCACTCCAGCGTCCTGGATACTCTGGGAGAACTGGCCAACGTCAGAGAGCTCTCTTCCGCACCAGCCTCTGGGTTCTGGTTCATTTGCTGGTTGGTGGCATATAATACAACCAGTTGGAATTCACCTCTCTCTACCTCCTGTAAGTTCTGAGTTCTGTAAATTCTTTAAAATTCTAGCACTCACTGATTGTTATGCCAGGAGATTAAGTTAATTCAGGAAAGACCCCAGGCCTGGATTCCTGCAGCTTCCCACCGGGCCTAGGCCCCAGCACTAACCTAGAGCAAAGCACCTTTGCAGGGGGTTAGAAGACACGGAGCTGCTCTGGTCACCTGATTTCTTTACCCTTGGCCTTTCCATTTTTGTCCCCTGGCCCAAACAACTGAGATGAAATGAGAAGTAAATGGCCAAGGGAGATCCTCTCCTGAGGCAAATTTCCTGTCTCTGCTTATGGCCACGGAGACCCTGAGTGGGGAGGCCAGTTGCAGAGCACTCTCCCAGAACCAGCGCTGGGTGACAGGGGCAGGCAGCGTCCACTTTTTCATGGGGGGGGGGAGTGGGGATTTAAAAAGAGGAGGAGGAGGAAGAAGAAAGACTGCAGAAGACCCCAAGGGCTGTCCCTATTCCTCCACTCTGCCCCAACCCGAAACTGTCAGTCTGCACTAAGCCCCAGAGAGACAGAGAGAAGTGGGGGTGGGGAGAGAGAGACGGAGGGGGGAAATCAAAGAAAATTGCAAAAGTCAATGGCCTGGAACTAGAGGCAGCCTCAGCAACTGCAGTGTGACTTTGATTCCCCTATCATAACCCTGAATTAAAAATTCAGGCAATTATCTGCATGGCTTCATTCTGATTAGAATGAGCCGGAGTCTCATTAATGCATCAGCACAGAGGAAAGCCATTAGGGTCTGTGAAATGGAATGTTTCTCTGAGAACAGGTTCCGCTTGATGTAAAATACCCAGCAAAAAGAAATTTCACACATTTTTGAGCTCCAAGTCACAGGACAGCTCCCTGCTTCAGGGCTGCAGACCCTGCCACAGTCGTCCCCTCTCAGCTGGCTCTGGGTTGAAAGCCACCTTTGTTTCCCAGCTTCTTCCTGGCACCTCCAGCTGCTGGAGTTGTGTAGAGGGAGGGGGAGGGTGTTGAGGGACCCAAATGGACTTCCTGGATGCTCTCTTGGCTTGGTCCTAAGATACCGAGTCAGCCCAGCTGCCCAGTCTCGAGTCCCTGAGCCACGAGGAGCACCAGAACTGCTTGGGAATCCCCTGCCCTCCTTTGCTAGAAGATCTAGAAGCAAGCTTGTCGAGGACCTCAGAGGTCCAAGACTCCAGTGAAGATCCACGTATCTTCATGTCCCCAACAATCTTGGTACTATCCTGACCTATGTGGTGACTTGGGTGTCCCCAGGCGCTCCAGGAAGGATCTGGTGGAGCTGAGCTAGTCTGGAAGGCTTGTTGCTTAGGAGAGGGTGAAGGGTTGGAGGTTTCTGAAAAGGTCAGAGCTTTTAGAAATGCAAATCCACTGCCCACCCCCAAGTGGGTGAACATCCCTGCAGTATCTGGCACCCAGAAGCTCTCAGGCACCCGCTTTTTGGAATTTCCAGGATGTGGTTTTCTTTTTCAAATGACTGTGAGTTGTTCCCGAGGGAACCCTGAGAGCAGTTTTCTAAGCAACTACCCTTACATTCCTAGTAACTTCATCTCTCGGGAGACTTGGGCTTGACCCAGAAGAATCATCTAGATTTTCTTCGAGCCAGTGGGTGGGATTTGGGTTCCCCCATTTTCGACACTTTCACATTCTTCTAACACAGGGATCCTCAGGATGCCAAACATGGATCCTTGGGGTGTATAACATAAATAACCTCTTCAGGAGAAGAGCCCATCTTGCATGGTGAGAAATGGGAAAGATGAAAAAGTTTTAGTAAAAAGGGAACTAGTTACAGTGAATATGCTGCCAACCAGGAAAATGTTTCCCTTCAGCCCATTTGCATAAGCCATGTTCTCCTGGCACATCCATTACCTATCCAGTGTTAAGAACCAGGGCCAAATGTCTGTGCAAAGCTGTAAACAGAAGGAGACTGTAATCAGGATGTCAATATATAACTGATACATTTTGTATCAATGGCGCCCCCTACTGTACACCAGAGAAACTGGGCAACCAGTGGTAATTCAGGTTTTCAAAATGTTTTCAGACACATCCCACGTTAGAAGGGTACATTCCTGGTCACCAGGGAGTTTTTATAAAGCATGTTTTCAATACTGCAGACAGTTTTATGGGTGAAGGCTCCTAGAGTTTGCCTCGCCCTCCAACATAAACAAGATGCTTGGTAATTCAACCATGTTCTTTGTGGGCTCTGAGTATTAGTCTTTCTAACACTTCGCTCTCACTTTTCTGACAATACTCAGAGAAGTCAAATGCAGTTGAGAACTACTTGTGATGACAGATGATCCCCATGTAAAGGGCTGACCTAAAGGCACCTGAAGTCTTGAGTGGGTGGAGGTTGTCTCCCTGGACTCACCAGCTGGTATGAGAATGGCCCAAAGGTCAGGAGTGTGGGCCTTCTAGAGAGGGAAGCCAGCCCGCCAGCTCCAAGCAGAAGCCCTCTGTCTGCCATTGGAAATGATCACATCTCAGTTTTTCGTACCTTAGTACCTTCCGCTGTATTTCTCCGTATTTTAAACATAGACTCTTCCCAGTCGGATCATTCCTTTCTTCCCAGGAGAACTCAGTTCTTACCTTTGTAACTTGTCACTCCTTATTCGTTCACAGATATTTTTTTTGAACAACTATTACGTGCTAGGCATTGTTCTAGGAACAGGAGCGAGAGCACTGAACACAACACAGATGAAGCCGCTGCTCTCACGGAACAGACATTCCAGGTGGGGACACAGACAGCTCTAGAAAGACAAATGAGCGTGTCAGCACTGTAACTGCTGGGAATCAACAACGCTGGGTGAGGGGGTAGAGAGGGAGGGAGGGCTGCTTTACAAGGGTGGTCTCTCTGAGAAGCGCACTGGAAAAGCTCTGTGCTCCACGCTGACCATCTCTCTTCTCTCTCCCTCAGAACTGGGATTGCCTCTCCCGCAGCACACCCCCAGTCAACTTGCCCTCCACGGATGCTGCCTGTCGCTCACCTCTGCTCAAGCTCCTTCGTTCTTGGAAAGCTTACGGTTATATCTTTGATTATAATCTCCTGGAGAATAAGAGTCCTGACTTCTATTCTTTGGTTTGCTGTCGGAGCATGGGGTGGGGAGGAAACAAACATTTCTGTTATGTGCTGTAAACATTAACATATCCGTTCATCCAATCCTCACAAAACTGCAGACTCTGCGTTATTGTCCCCAGTTTATAAACAGGGAAGTGAGGCTGAATTCATCCACGGGCGCACAACTGCCAACTGGTGGGCCTGAGGTTTCAACCCTGACCTATTAGCATTGTAGGCGACACTGGTCCCACTCTGGAGCAAGGAGTGAGTATTCGTGTTGTCAGTGAGTAATGAGAACAGGGAAGCGACAAGCTCTAGTTCTTAGATACAGGCTGTTCAACAGAAGCAATTAACCCCCACCCCCTGCCCAGTCTACTGGATTATAAATCCTTCCTTTGCTAGTAGCCAAGTGGCCACAGGTACTTCACTTCCTCTTCCTGGGGCTCATAACCCTCCTCTGTAAACTGAGGTTACACCAGATGAGCTCCCAGGTCTGACATTAAAAGGAATATAATCTTCTGCAAGAGATGGGCAAGAGTAGAAGGTGGGGAGAAGTCAAGTGACTTCACTGCACCAAATCTGATTTTTTTTTAAGATTTTATTTATTTATTTTTTAGAGAGGGAAGGGAGGGAGAAAGAGAGAGAGAAACATCAATGTACAGTTGCTGGGGGTGATGGCCTGCAACCCAGGCATGTATCCTGACTGGGAATTGAACCTGCGACACTTTGGTTTGCAGCCCTCATTCAATCCACTGAGCTACACCAGCCAGGGCTTTGATTTTTTAAAATATTGTTTTTATTGTTGTTCAAGTACAGTGTTCTGCCTTCCCCTCACCCCTCCCCAGCACCCCAGCCCTCCCCACCTCCCTCCCCTGTTTCCACCCCCCTTGTTGTTGTCCATGTGTCCTTTATAATTGTTCCTGAAAACCCTGCACCCTTTCCCCCTATAATCCCCTGCCCCGCCATCCCTGTCAGCCTGTTCTCCAAATCCGATTTTTTTTGTTCAGAGACAGAGAACAAAACACAACAGTTTGTTCATTCAGTTAAATTCAACATACACTGAATACCTACTATGTGCCAGACCCTGGCATGTGTTGAAAATACAGGAATAAGCTTTTATTTTTAAAAAAGATTTTATTTATTTTTAGAGAGAGGGAAAGGAAGGGAGAAGGAGAGAGGAAGAGAAACATCAATTGGTTGCCTCCATCGGGGTGGGGTAGGGGGGCTCACAATCCGGGGGCTCACAACCCAGGCATGTGCCCTGACTGGGAATCAAACCTGTGACCTTTCAGTTTGCAGGATGACACACAACCCACTGAGCCACACCAGCCAGGGCTACAGAAATAAACTTTTAAAATATTGTCCTTACCTTGTAACACGTGTAAAGGGAAAGACAAATATTGCAAGAAATTATTACAATAATAATAATGGCTAACATTTTACATGACACTTGCTCTTTGCCAGAAATTTTTCCGAGCATTTGAAACATTTTAACTCTTTTTAATCTTCCCAATCATCTGTGAGGTTGGTACTAATGTCATTACTATTATGGATGTATGTCAAAGAGGTATTGTGAATGTTAATAACGTATGAAAAGTGTTTATTCATGGAGCCTGAGATGTAGAATCAATGATGGCGATGCTGGAAGTAAGGTAATATTGTGCAATGTTAACTGGCCGTTTTGTTCCCCTGATATTTCTGTTACTCCTTGCTTGACCCTCCTGCCATTTAAGATCAGCCACGCACATCCAGCTGGAGGGAAGGGATTTTCTGTCAATAGCAGAGAAGGTGTTAGAACTTTGAAACTCAAAACCCACGGCTGTGAAGTAACTCAGGACATAAACAAACCTGGTGAGTGAGAGTCAGTTTCCCTGCCCCCAGCGACAGGGAGAGGGGAAAGAGGCATGCAGAGACCCCTGAGAAATGCAGCACAACACCCTGCTCCCCATTTGAGCTCGATGTCCAGAGAGTCCTAGGGATCAGACCCCCCAGAACCAGAACGGCTGGGGTGCATGTTAGAGACACCGGACCTGGCCCTGGTGAGCTGATCCCTGAGTGCTGACACGGTGAGAGAGCAAACCCACCCTGGGTTCTAGAGCAGCTGGCAGTAGAGGGGGTCTTAGTCCCACAAAGCTTCCCTCTGGCCAGCACGGTGCACACAGCCGGTGCACACAGCCGCATGAAGGTCCGCCTCTTCCTAGGAGAAGCGAAGAAGTCAAAAGAGGGTCACTGGGACATCAGCATGACAAAGACTGTGTAATAGTTTCCACAGTCAGAAGAGAACAATAATTCACTCTTTCCTTATCATGACCGATTACAATTTAGAGTTTACTATTGAGAGCTTATTATTCAGCTTCACAAGTCATTATTTACAATGTTAGGCACTCTTTAAAAGTTGTCAAATCTAGAAAACCTCTCTCAGGTTTCTATTACACGTGAACTCAGGGCATTTCAGGCTTTCCTGTGTGATGAACTGAGGGCACCCCCTCTCCAGGGCTATTGGAGGGTCTGCAGGAGGGAGAGCTCGAAGCTCCAGCTCCCTCGTGGAAGCAAGTGTGTGCGTGGCGCGGTGCGTGGCACAGGTCAGGAAATGAGAGACACACGGAGACGACCCTCACCTCCCCGACCCATTGCCCCAGGCAAAGTTGGGGATTTCCCATCCTGGATTTTAGCTTCCTCCGTCTTCAGTAGTCCCTCCAGGGCCCCTCAGCAGTCGGGTACAAAAATATACCTCTAGTGACAAAGCAGCAGAAAGAATGCTAGACTCAGAACAAAAGGCCCCAGGTTGGAGCTCCGGCTTCCTCACTTATCAGCTGTGTAACTTTGGCAAATCATCCAACCTCTCTGTGTCTGTTTCCTAATGATCTCTGAGACTGGCATAGTTACGCCAGCCTCCTGGGTTACAGAGATGAACAGCAGGATGTCAGCAAAGGAGCTTTGTAAAGTGCCCAGCAATTTTACTCAAGGGTTTTTATTCTGGGGCCTGTGAGTCACTATCCAACATCTGTGAACATCTCAACTTCCTTGCCTGTTGTGGCCTAAAGGACTGGAAATTCAAAGTGGACTTGAATCAAATTTGGCAGCAAGAATAGGACAGCAAAATTGTCCACCCTTTCTGCAAAAAGGTATTCAGGTCCAGCTATATCGCCATACTTGGTGCTGGAAATAGGCATTCAAAGGAAGACAAGCACAGTCCGGGCCCTTCGGGTTTGTAAGGCGGGAAGACGCATCTCCAGACTGACATCAGGAGGGCGGTTCGCGCCCTAGCCTGCTAGCTCCGCCTCCCTGTGCCTCAGTGTCTCCTCTGGCCGAGGGGCGTGGCCACCCACATGGGGGAGCGCAGAGCGAGCGGAGGGAATCCTGCAGACCTGGGAGGACACTTGGACAGACGTGTGACCTGCGGGGACACTTGGAAAGACGTGTGAGGGAGCCCCCAGAGGGCTGCCCAGAGCCCTGCGGAGCCTGGCTGTTCCTGAGGGGGTTTCTGGACGCTTTGAAGTGCCACCACGACGAGGGAGGCTGCCCCGTCCTGGAGGTACAGTCGTTTGTAATTTACTCCTCCACGTGGGCTCTGGAGCTCCAGGCTCATAAATCCATCCCTCCCCCCGCCCCCACCTGCGCAGCCCCGCCTGGGGCAAGGAAGGCTGACAGATGGCCGGGGGGGGGGGCGGGGTGCTGCAGGGGAGGAACCGCTAAATTAAGAAGGTCCCTGGGAGTGACTGGCCTACGGACACGACTGAGTCCCCCGAGTTTTTCACTTTAAAGTAGAAATATTTCCAACTAAGATCACAGACTCCCGCATCATAAAATCAATGAAACCACAAGGCAAAGTGACCTGCCGCTTGACTGCCCCAGAGACATCTCCAGCGGACACGTCCCCCCGCCCCCTACGTCGTAGAAGCAGCGGCGTGGGGCTCAGGATTTGCTGCCCAGGCTCCAGGCCCGCGGATGCCAGTCTGAGGCCAAGACCGCAGCGCGTGGGGTGGGTGCGTGTCTGCCTTGTGTTCCTCGCCACGTTTTGTGGCAGCTTCTGTGCGGCTCCTACCGCCACGTGAGGCTTTTTCCTGGAGCCACCTCTGGGCTCAAGCCGGTTGGTTGTCTAGGAAAAGGGGGATCTCCTCGTCCCAGGCTCCTCCTGCGGGAAGGGGAGGGTGGTGAAGCGAGGCCACGGGCCTGCAGGGAGGGGGCACGATGGCCCGCTGTGTGCAGGCAAATACTTTGTAAACCCAAAGCTCTCGATAAATAACGAGCTTCATTGTTAAAAGACGAAAGCACCAATCCTTGCTAAGGTACCCGTTAGAACATCTTATGCTGTGAGAGAACCTAACTCAAACTGGCTTAAACCCCAGGGGGACAGTTTGGCCAAGGGAACTGCGAAGGGCTGAGGTGGGACTGACGCAGGTGAGGACTAGAGTCAGTGTCACCAAGGGCCAGTGCCTCCCCAGATCCCACGGTGACCGCCAGTCTCACATCCTAACAAGATGCCATCCAGAGGAAGGGTGGCCTGCTTTCCAGTAACTTCTGTCAAAGCGAGATGAAGAGGGAGGTGTGAGGAACTCTTTTTTCCCCAGGCTTAGCACTTATGCCAGATTTCGATGGCTCTGCTTAGGTTTCCAGGGGATAAGACGTGGGGATTGGCTGAAGAAAATCAAGACCCATCCCTAGATCTGGGGCAGAACCATGATGCCAACCAAACCACGTGTGGCGGAGTTATTTTATCAGAAGGACAGTGAGTGGATACTGAGTTGCAAAAACACCTGTTCAGTGCAGTCCACCCCCTTTAATTGTCCAACACCCACACTCACCTGTATCTCCATAAATATGAGGATAACTTCAAAAATACCAACTCTCTGCACAAATACAGTCAACCTCTTTTTCCCAAAAGAGACAAGCCCCAGTTGCATCCAGTCTGGTTCTCTGGGTGATATTTAGCCCTTGGCTATGGAGCTCTTGGGGTCCTGTGTAGTAGTCATTTTAATCATGGCCAAGTAGTACATTTAATCACACTGATGCACTCAGCAAACAGGAATGGAGAAACAACAGAGGAGCTGCAGTAAAAACTCTCCTTTGGAAAAGGAAAGAACAGGAAACAACTCGCAATGGTCACCAGTCCCAGGCCAATGTCCTGTTTTACCAGAAGTCACTCGGACACCCTGCCCTGGCAGCGAGTACAAGTCCTCCCCCGTTCTGACCTCTGGAAGGCTCCCTTTGCCCTTTGCCCTCTGTGACTCGTGCTTGTCTCTTCAGGAGAATCTCTCCTGCCCGTTGTCCTGCATGGATCAAATGACGTGTGCGCCGGAGGAGAGGGCCCTTCTGGGGGCACCACAATTTCAGCAGCTCTCTTCCCGCTGATGTGAGTTTGGGGGTCTGGAAATCGCTGTCGTAGAGCATGGTGAGCCAGCTTTGAGGTTTCTTTGGGAAA